ACATCAGCGCCTGAGACAGGGAGCAAGCGAACGCATGATGCTGTTCTTACAGTTAACGATGAAATTCGTCAGTTCGCTACCCGGGCCGACAATATTCTTCTTGGGGGCTCCATTGGGCGAATGCCCAGTTTATCTTGGCATGTCTCTGTATGCGTGGAGCTATCGTCTTTGCGGGACGTTCTCCGTCAGACGAGACGTTGGACTCGCGAAGCCGTCATGTCATCTCGTCGGCTATGATGTTGCATCCCACGCATCCGTAATGTTGTGGACCCTTCGGCCCCCGAATACAGTAGAAACCTCTAACGGCGATCACGTCCTTTTCCGTTTCGATGATCACCCACGGTCCATGAAGCCTATCTCGGAGATCTCAGGGTTACTATGAGCTTAAGCGATGGGGCCTGATTAGGGTTGTGTGTTTACGGTGGACGGACTTAATGAATATCGAGTATGGCATGGATAGTCAAATCCCCCGGATCAGCATTGATCTGAGCTTGCTGGAACATTACAGTGCAACTTCTGTGAGACCTACTGCAACTCATGCTTTCTGAAATGATCTGCAACTGTAGACAATGACTTCAAATCTCGGGATAACAGTGAGCCGCACTCACAGCTGTTTTCTGCCAGCCAAAAACATCATCACGAGGCCACGTAGCAGATATGAAGCGTCGCTTTTCAAAACCTGGCTGTTACAATGCCTCTCGGGGCCACCTACGATACGTTATCAAACATAATATCCAGGAAGGCATTCTTTCTTTCTGTAACAAAACACATTTTTTGATGTCTGAGGCAGCCTCTTTAACGAATTTGCTACAATCAAGCAGTCGATGTCACGATTTGCGGCTATAGCCTTGCTTTTCGTACAGTAGAATGTTGGAAGCGATCATAACATATCATTTGAATGATCGTAGCACAACTCATTCGAATAGTCGAGCACTTGGATCTTATTCTTTGGATATCTCCACTCTTTTGCCTGTTTTTGGCAATATTTTCAAACAGGATAGAATTGATAGTACTTTTCGATGCAAACAACAATGATACTCGACATTCCACAGTGGAAAGTCTTAGGGAATCATTACCGGTCCGCAACGATGAGATACGTTTCTCTATCTTATTATCTTTAATTTCAGCTTCTCCATGGCAGATTAAGTTACGCACAAGCTGTAGCATTATGTCACTGTAAAGGTTATGTTCATTAATCGTCGCCGTCAGGTGAATAGCAGTCTTGGCAACAAAAAGTCTCTTCAATCTGCAGTCTAACTTTCGGGTTGCTCAAGTTAGCATCATGAAGCCAGCAGGATCATTTAGTGTAGTACCTTAGAATATTGATCCGAGTTACTAGACCACCGACCTTTATCAAGTCGGTGCTACCATGTCCAAGACTTTTCCAATTTTTCAAGATAGCAATTTCATCTCGAGCTTGAATTGTTCAAGACCGATAAAGAAGACAGCGATAGACAGCTGTGTTTGGCGGTCGAAACTTTCTGGAAACCTTGCTCTACCACGAGCTGCTAGGACACCCAGCATGACTAAGTGGTCTTCGCAGATGGTATCACCGACATCATGTTAGTCTTACAGTTCCTTGCAAAAGTGGCAATCTATTTCTCACTGTCAACACTCTCATGCTTGTACTTCGAGTACCGATTCTTGAATTCTGTTTCCATGTACAGAAATGTCTTTGCTAAGTTTCCGCTCTTGTTTTACACAAGCTAGTGAAAGCGCCGTGTCATGGAAACTTCTTTCGGTACAGGCACTGTCATGAAAGTCCAAGTTCAGACGAAATGCCTCGATACACTTTTCCTACACAATTTTTACTCGAATTGGCCATCAGATATGCTTTGGAAATCATCTGCCCTCTCAAAAAGCTGATGTTCTTCTGCTTTTCTTGATATCATGTGAGCATTTCAACTGTCCTTCACTTCTACTTGAGGCTTAGCCAGGTGGGGCTACAAGTGGCTGTGCAGGGGTGCCGAGAATGACCAAAGAGGAAATGTGATGACTTCACTGAAACACGCGTCCAACTCTCAGCTGGGTGCCTGATCTCTCCCTGAAAAGGCCGGCCTTGAGTCCTTGACACCTGTCAGTCGACCCAGACTAAGTTTTCCGAGAGGCTGTCTAGGGCATATGAAGGCGAAAGCTTTTCGTCCCAGTGTACGAGAATTCGAAAAATGGCAGACACTAGCAGGTTCCACTGTTTCATCAGTCATTCGAACACTCTTGCACCGGCAGCGTCAACGGCACTTGAGCCGCTGGCCGGACACAGCACGGGGTACGTGGTGCCACACTTGCGAGCAACGGAGTCTTCTTTGAACATTCTAGGCTAACTTTCTATAGAAATTCGAAGTAAGCGTTGCTGATCCTAATGAGATCTTTGCACAGAGTTTCGCTCACAGTCACAGACAGGATGCCCATCTGGCAGGGCGTCGGGTCCGCCGAACACGCCAAAGACATCGGATGAGTGAGAGTCGCGATGCCGGCCAGCAAAGACACCTAGACCAGGCAACGCAACCACCTGAAAAACTGCCATCATCGCTTGACTGGGACATTGACGGAACTCTCATTGAGAAATGCATGTTCCATCACGTCCGTCGGGTTACCATTCCTGGATTTCAAAACCTAGCGCTAATGACCAAGCTTTGGAACAACTACATCATACCGCTGGGCTACTATTCACACTCAGTTAAACATGCTTTGGTAGGGCTCGGTCTATCGCACAGAGCTTTCCTTGATGGTTATTCGCATGCGAGCAAGGTTACGGAAGATCAAGACTTTGCAAGTCTGGCCATGTCGTACTATGGCAGAGCTCTCAAGTCGACACTGGCGGACAGGGAGAAGAATCTATCTACTACGTCCATCAGAATTTCCCTCGTCTCTTGCCTCGTCTTTGTTTGTTTCGAGGTAATAGAAGGGCGGTATGACAAAGCAATACAGCACCTACGGGGTGGCTGTAGGATCCTCGGCTCCATTCGAGAGGCAGTAGAGAGTCTTGAGATGAACGGCGCTGAAGCCTTGTCCCCTTCACAATTATGTCTGGCCGAGACCGCCAGGAAATACTTTGATCAGCTCTCTGACATCGCCGTCATGTTCTCCTGCATTGGGATCGATACAGCCTATTTGCTCGAGGCAGAAATCACCCCTGATCTAGACTTCTTCTTACGGCCTCCAGCTGTACCTGAGGCATCTGGGCATGATCCCTTCAAGACCTTGGACGAGGCACGACTCGAAATCCACCGTGTTGAAAAGGCATTAGGCTCTATCATAGGCTTCAACTTTCGCCAGCCTCCACCACGTTCTTGGGCCTCTGTCCTGGATCTACCTGGCGACATGTCGCCCTTCGAAGATGAGATATTCGACGCTTGGATGAAAGCACGGCATCGCCTGGATACATGGAGCTCCAGAATTGATATGAGCATCGAGATATGGCAGTCTGATCCGTCGTTTTCTCCAGAGGCTTTGAAGGAGGCGCAAATATTGACGTTTATCCAAAATGATTGGAAGATGATCATCAAGCAGTGCGAAACTTCCACCATTGAAACGATAGCTCCAGCTATCTGGAGAAGTATGCTCGACAGGGCTGAGGCCTTTTGTCCGTCCGGGGAAGGAAATTCACAACAGCTGCCGCACTTTGCTCTAGCTGCAGATACGATCCCGCCGCTAGTGGTGGTTGCCACCTTTTCGCAAGACCCCGATGTACAGTCGAGGGCTATTTCGCTGCTCTATTCTATGAAGCGAAGGGAAGGTATGTGGGATAGCCGCGAAATTGCCAGCATTTTGGAGTCGATCAACGCAGTTCGGGAGAGCGATCTTTGGGACAAGGAATATGAGACAGCTTCGCTTCCGACCTTGGCAGAGAAGGTGCTATCTCGGCATCTCTGTCGTAGAGACGAGCAGATGCCGCTGGCTACGTTGATGAAACAAGGATTCGCGTGAGCATAGGCATGTTACTACAAGAAGAGCATTTTCGACGTTTACAATGCCGTTGCGATATGTTACCCATGTTCGATGCAACAGGGCTTCTGTCGGGAGGGTGTTCCGGTTCCACGGCCACGGGTTTCGCTCTGTTCCCTGGAAGATGGTGGAATTCTGGATCTCTACGTGCATTTTTCGATTCGCCCGCGTAGGTGCAAGACCATGCAATAGATCGCATTTGATATGTTACCATGTCTATGGTTGCAAATAACAACGACCGCTGGAATATCTGAACGTTGCGAACAGAAAAGCTGCTAAAGACTTAGCGCAAAGCATGTTAAAGAGCCCCGAAGATCGGAGTGAGTTAAAGCGACGGACGATCATGATATGAGCTTCTATCACGACCCTTGCTTATCTCTGCATCCCCACAATGACCATCGCCCCTGATTGAGGAATGTTGGAGCAGCATTCACCTGCATTTCAGCAATCCAATTGACTGATGAAGGCTGATGAAGAGACAGAGGAGCCAGGTGGAAGAAAGCGGCCACAAGTTTACCAGAGTAAGCAAACACAACGTATCAATCAAAGTCTCTGAAGTCGTTCAGCTTCCGCGACCCACGGCAGATGCCATCTAGTCAACACTGCACAGAAGCCCGGCCGATTCGCCGGAGATGCCGTACCGCTTCTTCCGTCCTTTCGGCACTCTTCATTTCCTAGTGCCGAAGTCTTTCCCCGCCCACGAACCGGCTAAACTTCCAAAGTTGGAGATTTGGAGAGATGTAACGTCGCTATTCATAAACACCCAAGTCGGAGAGCCCCTCACCCTGCGCGTTCCCCTCATTACCGTCCATGATAGCTTCCTGATCAGGGTCATGACGACGCTAATCACCCAGCGGCGATGGCACGTCAGGCCATTGATAGCCCATCCGGCTGTGATCCACCCAATTGCATCTCCAAAGCAACAATCCAGTTGCGTACCATGACTGGGGGTCAATAGCTGACTTCCCCGCTCATATAAGTCCAATGGCTTCGAATCGTGAGCCAGACCAGCATGATGCTATTCGCAACACCTGGGTGAGAACGTTCACGACAGGATGATGTTCCGCAAGCTCATTCCGGCTATCGCGGCCTTGATCGCGGCACTCCCGCCGGTCAATGGTCAGGCCGTCCGCTTCAACAACCCGGAAGGGGTTGACATTTGGTGCGGAAAGGCGTATCGCGCAACGTGAGTCCCCTCTACCCGATTGCGTCAGCTTCAGCCGGTCAAGTGCTCACAAGGTTCAATCGCAGAAACTCTTCCTTTGACCCAGGTGGATGGTTCCCCGAGCCAGCCATCTCCAGCGTTCCCCTTCTGCGACTCAAGGTGCGACCGCGGCTGAGCATCTATCTTGAGACCGACTCTTCAGCAAACCTACTCATCGACGCCGCCGTTTCGAACCAGGTCGGCTCTCCGCTGCCCGTCGGCTATGGATCGAACTACACCAATTCGACATCCAAGCCGTTGACAGTTGAGATTTTGCTGGGAGAAGATGTCCTTGCGACCGAAGAAGTTGCGCTCGGATCTCGCGATAACGAAGTTGCTCTCCCGCTAGACTCGCTCACTCCGCGTATGGAGGCGTACAACATCACGATCCGAACAAAGTTGGACTCTTTGCATGTGTACGAAGGCTGGACCGAGTTTCCGTATCTTCCGTACCCCGAGGACTACGGTAGCGTGTCGCGTATCGATAACCTGTACGGCGGACTTCTCGCGCAACGAGGCAAGGATGCTGATTGGGACCTCATCTTCGCATACACCTACTACAGTAGGCACTTCCCCTCGCAACCAAATCCGTGCCTCTGACTGACTTGAACCAGCACAATGGACCTTGTACTGGAACGACAGCGTCGACACCCTCAACGAGTTCGCCGCCATGGGCTACAACGTAATCCACATTGTGCCCACAGGCAGCCTCGGCGAGATCCCCTTCCCCTGGGACGAATTCGAGCCCTACCTCCAGCGGGCCGACGAGCTGGGCCTCTACCTGCGCTACGACGTCCTATGGACCTGGCCGAACCTCACAAACATGGTCGACCAGGTCACCCGGCTGCGCACTCACCCGTCCATCCTGCTGTGGTACCAGAGCGACGAGGCCGACGGCAAGGCGAACCCGGCCAACTCCACGGGGATGGCGTACGAGCAGATCAAGGCGATTGACCCGTACCACCCGGTCTCCCTCGCGCTCAACTGCTGGGACTTTCACTACGCCGAGTACGGCGCCGGCGCGGATATCATCATGAGCGACGTTTACCCCGTCGCCATCAACGCGACGTTTTCGACAGTGTATGGCACCGAGTGTAATGCCACGTACGGGTGCTGCGGTTGCGACGACTGCGAGGGTAATTTTGAGGATATCTCTGTGCGACTGGACGAGTTCTACCGTAGAGATGAGATCCTGGGATGGCAGAAGACGCAGTGGTTTGCACCGCAGGCATTTGGCAACGAGACCTTTTGGGCGCGGTACCCGACCGCCGAGGAAGAGGTTGTCATGACGGTGTTGTCGGTCAACCACGGCGCAAAGGGCATCGTGATGTGGAATTACCCGGCCACGCCGGAGCTGGAGGGTATGACGAGCAAGTTGGCTGGTGTGTTTACTAACGAAGCTGCGGTAGAGTTCTTGCTTGGCACGGAGAGGACGCAGGATCTTGCTGTTGAGGGTGCGAAGAGGGTTGATGCGGCGGTGTGGGTTGATGAAGCGAAGAAGCAGGTGCTTGTCAGTGTAGTCAATCTGAGTTATGATGAGATTTCGGGCGAGATCAGAGTTGTTTTGCCGGATGGAGTGGAGGTTGGCGAGGTTGTTGAGGTGCTTTGGGGCGATGTTGCTTGGGAGATGGTTGATGGGAGTTTGGTTGCCACGGAAGGGTTGCTTGGCCTGCAGACTTCGGTGTTTATTACCGCTTTACTCTGAAAGAAGCAATCGATACTTCACGTACATACTTGGATCATAGTGCTAGAGGACAATGTCTCATGGATCAGAATGGTCCTGTTTTCTGCTGCATTGTGACGATGTTTGCAACGTAGTCGGGCTTTTCAGAGCCAGGTTTAGAGATTAGTCAACCAAGAGATCGGACTCATTCGCATCAGCCGAAGTTGTCATGTCAACTGGGTATGAATGACAAGGTGCCCTCAACTTGGTTTACTCATCGCAGCGGGCTTGACTGGTTCCTATAGGCATACCATGCCTTGACGCTATGAGTGCAGCCTTGCGCTGCGGCAATGAGTTGTCAAGAGAGGATAGTACTAGAAGGTTGCAACGTACTTTGTCACATTCGCGTCAAATACTGGAGTATCCCTACGACGTGGTACACTTTTGCTCAAAATTTCCTGCCAAATTGATCTAGCCATCCATCGTCGTTATCCATACATATGCGCAGCCAAGGATGTCCACGCGTATAGCCCGCCTCCCCCGCCGTATTCGCCGTATTCGAGACTTCCGTTCCGCGTATAGCAGAGACCCGCCCCGGCCCCAATTTTCGGAATACATACGAATATTCAAGCTTTGAGATCGGCGCTTAACACCTCGAGAGACGGCGCAGTCTGCCTTGGTCTTACGTCCTCGTCAAGCTTGGACTGCCGGCCTTTGTGCATCTGGGGCCCTGCTAGGCGAGATCCTCCTGTTGTTTCCGCGGGATGGGTCTTCCGCCGGGACATCAGGTTACAGGGTGATCTCTCGGCAAGATGAGAAATTCAAGGTTCCGTAGATGCTCATAAGAAGCTGTTTTCGTCTTACATTCCTCCTTGGTCTGGTTCACCTTCTGGTTCAGCTTATGGTGCCATCTCTCACAGGCGCCGCTGAGAAGTTCCTCAAGATGCGTCTCACTTCTGCCTTGACTGGCATTCTTTGCGCCGCGAGCGTTGCGTACGCCGCACCGGCGGACGAACATGAAGACCAGGCCCGTTTCGGCAGACATACCGATAGCAATGACTTCAGTACCCAAAACTCCAAGATCGCGAACCGGGAAGCTGACGTCCCGCCTCCTCCCGCGCCGGAGCCAATCACCATCACAGAGCTCCCTCTACCCCCTGTCACCGCGGACGAGGGTGTCGGAGGATGTACTCTGGAGATCAACCCCCGCGGCACCGGGTGTATCGGGAGATCTCCCGCTCTTCAGAACGGAGATTTCCTGCCGGATGATCTCCACGTTGTAGCGACGGTGAACTTCACCGGCGCCCCCGCATCGCCCGACCCGGCGAGCGTATACAACGGCCCACAGCTGATCATTGTCAAGATCGACAACAGCACTTTTCCGAACGGTGATGCGTGGAAGTGTATTACTTGCGGCGTATCTGCGGAGGACCAGGCTGTACTTGTTGCGCCGCTCGACTATCCCCAAATTTTCAAGGACGGCAAACGCCTGCTTGCTGGACCGCAAATCATCGAGTGTTCGGCTGAGCTTGTTAGCGAAGCTTGCACTCCGGACCAAGTCCACGTCTACCCAATCCGATGGAACACGGCCGTGGATGGGTCAGGCATCGGCGGTACCATTCGCGAGTTGCGCATTCATCCTGGCAACGAGCATCTCGGCTTCAACTCTTTCACCGTCACGTCCGGTAAGGTCAGCCAGTTCGCATATATAGGAAGGCTGGCTTTCACCAAAGCACCGACAACTGGCGAGCCACTTGTGCCCCGTTATGATCTGGTCAATGTCAATCTGTTATTTAGCACAAACGATAAGCAGCCGGTCGAGATTGACCCGGAGGACAGCTCTCTGCTCCGGATCAACTATGATGCCATCACTGTTGGAGAGCTTCGCGGGTTCAGCGGTACCGGCAAAGAAGTCACATACATTGGGTATCCCGCCGAGTCGTCCAACATTGATGTCTTTGCTGCCGATCTCATCACTGGAAGGGTCCGGCGCTTGACTGCCCACCCAGAGTATACGGATCCCGTCGACGTATCTCCAGATGACCAATGGACCGTGGCTATGGACACCCGTGGTAGTGGACGCCAGATGTTCATGGCGGGTCTACGCGGCATTCCTCCATTGACAGACTTGGTCTCCGCGAGCGCGGCCTCATCAACGAGAAACAACCAGGGGCGTCGATTCTTCCAGCCATGGCTCATCGATGGTCATGGTGACCGTGGTTCGTACTTTGGGCAACAACTCAATGCCGAGGGGAGTGGTATCCCCGGAAGTGGCGCAATCAATGATCCCGAATGGAACGGCCGCGCCGACCCGAAATGGTCCAATGATGGTACCCGTATTGTGTACTACCAGGCCCTGACCGTGTTTCCCGAGTGTGGAGGGGAGAACCCTCTGCCATGCTATCCATCAACGGCACCCGGAGGTCGTACCGAGCGCATGATGCTAGCTCATCTGACAAGCCGGCAGCCTCTCACACCGCCCTCTGTTGAGTCTCTAGGTGACACCATTCCTTGGGCAACTCCATACGTGCCTGGAACCCACGCGCCGGAGAGGCCATTCCCGACAAACGGAAACTTCACCCTCAAGGGCAGGGTCAGCGGCTGGGCAAACGTAACCATCACCCCGAATAGTGGAGGTGGTCTGCCGGGAACTGTAGCCGTCGAGTATCATAACTACTCTGATGACGGCGCAAACGTGCTAGTAGGATCCGAGAAGGTCACTTCAGTGAACCCGAGTCCGACGGTGGAGGAGATTGACTGGTACTCGGACCTTGTCCAGACGGGGCCAAGCAATGGAACCAAGAAGACCAGCTCTGACGGCTTCCGGTTGACCATTGATATCCTGACGAACATCTTCCAAGCCAACGGTACGTTGACGACCACGATCGACGGCAAGGAATGGCTCCAGCCAGCAAACAGGACTTGACACCAGCAGCTAGGTCCGTGAATCCAAGAATCGTGGGAGGGGGCTTGGCGCAGCAGACGAGGACAGAAGTTCCTACATAGTTTCAAAGCTCGATGAGAAACCACTTACCTCATCTGCAAGTGTAACAGTGACAGCAAGATCCTCCAAACTTTGGCGATGCAGATGCGAGGCGTATAGGTGATGAGCCCGGTCCCTCGAGACAAGCACGGCTGACGCATGCGGTCTCCTGCGTCAAGCGTACAGCAATGACAACAGATTTTCATTGTAAGATGCCATCGGAGCTCGGTTGGGCTTTGAGTCCGAACACCAAACCTTTGCCCCTCATCAGCTTCGACAGCTGCCATGCCAGAATCCCGTGTTGAGATGAAACATCTTCAGACCGAAGATGCCTTGAGCTGGACGGGTGCATGCTACGGGTAGCGTTTGGAGATGAGTAGCCAGCCACTCGGCAGCAGGGGCGATCCGAATTCATTAAATCATGTATCGATCTGATCGTCTGACGGACGTCGCTGATGAATTCCAGATATCGTACCTAGTTTCGGATCGGAGTTTTGGTGTAAGTTGGGCGCAACATCAAGGTGAGCACGGTGTGGTAGGTACCACAGGTACCTTACCTTAGGTACCTCAAGGTGGATAAGGTGCAATCTAATCGATACGGTCAAGATGCTTATCTTATCCGTCACGTTACCGCGAGACCCATCACGTGAATCGAGCTTTCCGGGTGCCCCTCGATGTGTCGAGGGAAGGAAGGATCGAACTTGTTCAGGGACAAATGATGGAAGGAAAGCGGCGGCCAAGCAGTCGCGCACCTCGCGCAGGAACGGTAGCAATTCAAGATTTTGTCGACGACAACCACACACGAGACACACGAGATTACTCGCATCGGAATAAACAGATTTGCTACCATGAGCTCAATATCAATTGGACGATAATTCCCCACCTTCATCATCGCTCGAGTCCAGTCTACCTTGTAATTCAAGGGAAACTGGTCGGTCGACCATCCTTTGCTTTTGTGCTTCCCGACTTGACAGCGCCGCCATAATTTTTTCTCGCAACAAAGCCGCCTTATTTTGCGCGAGAGATAATGGCAAAGAGGAAGGGCAAGCAGACAACGGTAGAAGATGTTGGCGACGGCGTGTCTAGTGAGAGCGCATCGCAATCCTCTTCCAATGGCTCATCCAAGGACTCAGGCTCCAGGCGATCGGCCAACGGGGCGCCCGATACTGCTCCTGCGCTCATAATATGTCGCAACAAGTCTGTTTCCCGTTTTGCCATCTTCACTAGTCTTGCATTTGCGACAGAGAACATGAGCGACTAGCGCAGTGTGCGCTGCGCTCCCATGAATGTTGATACTCTACTATGGATCACAGCTCGCTGACACATTGCGCGACAGGCATTGGCGCTTCATTTCTTCCTTCCACGGCCCATGGCTACAGATGCCCATTGAGATCCTCGAAACTATTGCGAACATCAACTACAATACCCCGGTACCCCGTCCGATCGACCCCGCCGTCTTCTTTGACCTTCTCAAGATTCGCAGATTAGTCGATGAAGCAACTAACTTGGCTGTCCGCGCTGCTAGCGACATCGCAACACCAACCTTGACGAACGTACATGGCGGGCTTAACGGACACATGTCGTCGTTGGGCTTCGGCGTGGGGAATGGTCACGGTACGAAACTGAGCAAAGAGCGGAAATTTCGCATGAGAGAGCAGGCAAGCCAGAAGCTCGCCCGCGCATATCGTCTGGATGAAATCGCTTGCAGTGTCGCTACCATGCAAGGTGCTTCGACTCTCGAGGAAATTGGCTCCCTAGTGTTGCAACGCAGCAGAGATGATCCCGATGCGAAATACGTTCACTTCTTCCACGAGAAGATACCCTCGCGACAGCTGGCCGAGTGTACTAGTCTAGCGCCTTTGGACAACATCATATCAGCGCATCCGACCGAAGCCGAGGCTCTACGAACTAGAGCGACTGTTCGGATCTTCAAGGATGACCACCTAGGGGCGGCTTCGGACTTGAGCCTTGCGTTGCAAGTGCACCGCTATCACCAGCCACCACATGGAGCACCGCTTTCCCGAGAAGTCGAGTTGACGACAGGATCCAGAAGAAGTCC